TAGCTATGGGGATTCTGGGAGTTGGAAGTCCACAGGACTTAAAGTCGCCAAGGTTGAGAAACATTGCTTTAAACAAATCCTACTTCCAATACCCCTTCCTTTATGAGACCTCTGCAGCTGAATTATAAACTGAACTTATTTCCTCAGAATCAGTCTCAATTCCCTAAAATATTTTGTTTAAAAATGGGAAAGAAAACATACCTCCCCATAGCTATCAAACTGTTTGTTATGAGATTTCTTTCCGGTTCCACCATAGCCAAAGCCAAATTTATCAGTACCTAAAGAATAATTAAGAAATCATAATTAAAAAAACCAAACATTTTTTGATTAAGATATGGAAGAAGAGAAGAGGGTAGTGATTTGGGTACAACCCCCCTCCCCCTTTCACTCTGCCTTTGTATCTGGAGGATTCAGGAAGAGTATGAGAATTTATGCTGGGCTGTAAGGGAAGGAGAAATGCAATAAAAATGCCATTCCCCCCCCCCCATTATATACTCTCCCTTGGACCTTCACTCTGTAAAAAGAGCAAAATCCTCCACTGCATATAGGAACAAATCATGTATTTTAGTTTCTTAAACTTTTGAGACAAAATGCCATATATTTTCATTCAGTAGAATGCTCATTCACTCTGTACTGAAACAAATATGTGATTTGTGAATGTGTTGCCTCTGTACAGAAATTATCCTCCTTCTCCACAGATATTCTGTACTCCCTCATGTGGGTGGATATTGACATATGGAAAAGAATATACCTATTTTGGTGATGATCAGTCCAGTCACAGACTGTTAACCATTTGGAGAAGCATGAAGGCAGAACATAAACCATTGTTCTAATACAATTAATCATTGTTAAGCCAAAGTCTTGCCATGAAGTGCTGGCACAAACAAAATTCTCAATTGAGTGATTCAACTGCAAAGTCTTTATCTCAGGGGTTGATGGAGACTATTGTAAATTACTAAAAAGTGTTGCATAGCAGATTTGTTGGAAATAGTACATACATACACCCACACCCACACCCACACCAATGACTAGTTCTTCAAGTAAGAACACACTAATGATCTTTGGTATTAAGAACTTTCTTTAAAATGTGTGGCTTAACAATCCACAGTTGTCATTAAGGGCCATTACTTAATCCTGATTGTAATGAAACTACTCACCCAAATCTAATGAAGCTTGTGAAGAGGACCATCCAACTCTGCACAAACCCTGGTCACGACAGGATACTTCATAATAATATTTTCCTAAAACGATTAAGAATACGCGCACCTGATTTTGTCTTCAATACACTTTGATCAAATCAAGCAATACGTTTAACCTGAGTACAAAATATGGTAGTAAATAATTTTATAGCCTCCAAAATAGTGATACTGACCTATACTCAGGGTGTGAATTGCTACCTTGTCTAAATCTTTAACCATTGTCTCCAAAGTAGAGAAAAATCTGAATATTTTGGCTCAAGTAGCCCTAATTTTTGACACATAAGCATAACCCCTCTTGTTTAGTACCTTTAGTTACACCTTTAGTTCCGCGACATCCATGCCATTCTTTTATTTCCCTGCTTTGGCAGCAGAGACCATCAGATCCAATAGCTAAAAAAGCAAAAGGAGTTAAAAATACAAAGAACTCTGACAGTTATTTTTGCAATATCATCTCGTATTCAAGCAACAAAATATGTAGTGCGCACTGTTTTGTAAAATATTTTTTTTTAATAATTTACAACAGGCAAATGGGTTATATCTATGGAATAACAGCTCTTATAAAGTGTTATCACTTTCCCATGATTTTTGAGCAACACTAAAATCACAGTGGAAATTGTGAATTAAACCAGTATTTCTCATGGTTCTGGATAAAAAAAAAATCTCAATAGTCTCAGACATTAAGAGCTAATGGCCAGAGGTGAGGTGATATGTAGCTCCAAAGGTTTTGGAGATCAAGCTGGGCAAAGCTATTATGGCTTCCTCAATTTCAATTCACATTAAAATAATAATACTCAACTTTATCCAGTGATATTAATGGGGGGTGGTGGGGAGACCTGCTGGCTATATTTATACTGCTTTCTTCATCTATGAAACTCAGCTATATGTAAAATCTCCAACCCACGCCCAGAATTTCATGTACATATATAGTTACCAAGTTACTGTATGATCTATAGAAAGATTTATAGAAGGCTTACCAAACGCATTTCCTCTGTCATAAGGATTCATTTGCCATTTGTTCAGCACTCATGAGAAATAAAACAGAAAAAAGACATACTTTTCATCTGTAGAGTGGTAAGGTCCCACATTCAAAAGCAGAAAAAGATAGTACTCTAGATCAGTGGTTCTCAACTTTTTTTTCACCGTGGACTCTCTTGAAATATGTTTTGTGGCCACAGACCATGGCCACGTATCTCCAAGACTTAACCCAAGATTTAAATCATAACATTTCTTCAAGCCTTCGTGGAACCCCTGTGACAACATCGGAGCCCCCCTTCCCCCCCCCCGGGATCCAAGGACCACAGGTTGAAAACCACTGCTCTAGACAGTTAAAAAGCTTGATATACATACATACATACATTCATACATACACCCATGTCTAGATTAGATAAAAAATTTTTTAAGAAATGTTCATAAAATTTGTGACTGTATGTTAGGTTCTTACATTTGCATAACTTTTATAATTTTATTTTTAATCTGGTTTGTAACTTTTGGAACTAGTTTGTGCATACATACATACATACATACATACATACATACATACATACATACATATATACTGAGATACAATGATATAATACATTTTATATCAGAAATCAGACGTAATACCCTGAAATATATGAAATATATTTACATTTTAAATGCTTTTTTAAAAGAAAGCTGCAAAAAGTGACATTTTATATTCCAGTTTTTCAGACATTTTATATTCTAGTGTCTTATTACATTGCATAAATAATAACATACTATGGCAAAAAAAATTGGAGAAGTATAAAAATCCTGTCTATTGTGAATTTTAGGATAAGGCAAAACTGGGGGGAAAAAATCAGCTTTAATGTTGACAACTATCATTCTTCCATTTGTAGTCCCACCATCTAATGTTGTACGTGATCCGTAACTTTTTTCTTTTTGTTATAAACTTTTCCCCTTTTTGTTTCTCCCCACTGCATTACATCCTGACAAGAGAGCCATGTTACCAGTCACATCCATTACGGAGTGTCAAAAGGAGGAATGCAGGAGTCTTTACCGTCACTGCATTTATCTTTTGGCACATCATTTTCCTAAGAGATCAGATTGACTATGACCTTCTTGGCCTTTTGCAAAGCCTCAAAGAAGTAGATGCATTCCTGGGGTTGGGGATTGGACTGTTGCATTCACTGTAATTCTATTGGGTCTTTCACCCGGGTTGCCAATTACATATTTGATTTTCTTTGGTGGCGAGATGGGTGGCCATATAAATTGATTTAAAAAGTACAGAATAACTATGAAGTATTTCTAAAACATTCTAAAAGCTATCAGACAGGTACAAATAAAAAAAACTAAACCTCTAAGTCAGTTATTCAGCTTACAAAATGATTGACATCACAAAATTATTTCATAATACCGTAAGTCAAATATGACACTAATGTCACACTTCCTTTTAGCCCAAGCCGAGTAAATAACAGCTACTTTTTATTAGAAAATACTTCAATTATTCTTATGCATGTTATTTATGTATAGAAATCTGTAATTATAAATAAGCTATATATAGAAATTTCAATTCACATTAGGTTCGACAGACAGAATATATAAATTTTAGCAAATCCTGGAGAAAAATCTTACCTCCTCCACCAGTTTTAATAGTAGTTTTACCCTTTTTTCCTTCCTGTTGGTCTTTTAGTGTTTCATAAACAATTTGAATAACTGGGATGCTGAATGCCTGAAATATAACGTTATCTATTTCACTAATAATGTTATTCAAAGCCTGGGTTACAAAGTAAATTTGGCTAAAGAGAAAAAAGGCCAGTTTTTCTTTTTAAAATTAATAAATGAGCAATGTTGATACATCTCATCATAACATTTATATAACATATTAAGCCACACTTATGGATAGAATATTTACTGACAAGATATCCATGATTAAGTCTCTCAGTCACCCAGATCATAACATGGGTATACTTTACCTAGGCTAAACTAATTTACAGTACAAGCTGTTGGATTGTTGGATAATAAGTGACATGCTATCACTTATTAATACTTTATATTTCCACAGAACCGCATACATGAGTATATAATGGCATATTACTTTGCAAAATACTAATTTTACTTACACCAGTTTTTCCACTGCCAGTTTCTGCAGCCTGTGTAGAAAATTTAATAAAACATGAAGATATGAATTATTTTTGGTAATACAAGATTAAATAGTTTTGTGTTTTAACAGTATAAAAATTGTAAAATCCCAGAACACTGGCACCTTAGCTGTTGATAACTATTTTATACTATCCTATGTAATTTCAAAACAAAAAAAAATTCAAAACAAAATTAACTACGCATTCTGTTTTTAAAAGTCAATTAGGAAACATATATTGTAGAGTCTAGCTGGTCTTAAATGAATGAGGCATCAAAGATGCAGAATTACTGAAATTTTAAGAAGAATTATTAACTTACTCAATTTCATTGGGTAACCTACATATTCAATTCATCCTGTTCATCATTAAATTGTAATTTTTTCAATACATATGTAAGCAACATTACCATAGTATACTAAAATGCTATATAAAATTTGAACTAACAGTGGAAATACACAAAGCAGACCCCTATATCATGCAACATTATTCTATAAGATAGACTAGTGTTATATATACCATGAGTACATCGCCTCCTCCCAAAATCAATGGAATGGACTCCGCTTGGATATCTGTAGGCAGACTAATGTAAAACCATAATAAGTCTCCCACTCTTTGTTGAAAAATCAAAAACCAAACATCTTCAGGATATATATATATAAGTCACAACCTGGTATGCCCAAATATGGGAGGAGGTTCACTGCTTCCATTCTCTGTCCATCGGCTCATCACAAGAGACCATCCAGACAGAAACCCAATATTTTTACTGTTGCCTTTGTTACATATTTATCAGCACAAACACACACACACACACACACACACACACACACACACACACACACAC